ATCTCATCAAAATTATTAATTATTAATTAATTAATTTAAGTCATGAACTTTTAGACAGTTTGTGTTAATTATAATTTTTGATATTTTATTTTATCATTGTCATATTCTATAGTTATGCATATAACTTAATATTATGCCATATAACTTAATTTTTCCTTACTTTCAAGCTTTTTGTTTTAATATCATATTTTTGGATCACAGTTCAATAAATAATTTAATAAAAAGATACTACAATGTTAATTAATGGATTCGAATAAAAAATTTTTGTGCCTTAATTAAATAAAAAAATTAATAGACAACTGTAAGCCATAATTTTAATAACTGCAATTTGTAATTTTTAAATATTAATTAGAAAAACTTATTTTAACAGAATTTAATTCTTAAAAAAAATTGCATACTTATTTTTTTTGAACCTGCAAATTTAGAAGAAAAGATAAAATTTTCAAATTATTTTTTACTTAAAAAGAAAAAAAGATTCAATTGCTTCAGGAAAGAAATAAATAATTTTATTTAGAACATCCTTTATACGTTTATGTTCTCAGGCTGGTTTAGCAGTGGAATATTTAGGAAAATACTTCACCAGCCTCGATGGATTATCTTATTGCGAGATTATTAATAAACCTGATATTGAAGTTATCTCTGTCGATCCACATTGCAATAAACAAGTCTCTTCAACGGAAAAAGAAAAGAAGGGAAAGCTAAGAATGAAAAATAAACGTTCATCGAATATCAAAAATGCATGGAATACCTATCTCTCCATGGATAAAAAATCCTTTGAAACATGTATGCATGAAAGCCTTCATTGCGTGTTTGGTTATTGTGCGCAAATTATGACACCAGTTTATAAACAAGCAGTAGAAAAAAAAGTGACACAGCTGACAATTTCTGCAACGAAGACAAGGTCTTTAGAATTGATGAAAAAGACAACAAATGTCAAAAGTAATCTAACACTTTCTCCTAAAAATGTTGCTAATCTTGCAGAAGAAACAAAGTTACTAGAAGCTTATGCTATCGCTATGGCGCAAAGCATTCAAAATGAAAGTACCACTAATAGCAAAAATGATCAAAAAGTCACCTCGACTTTTCCGTCACCTTCAGCATTGTATATACCAAAAACACAGAAATCGACTGTGGAACTCAACAGCTCGAAAACTATGTCACAAAATAGAGAGATGGTCAAGATGAATTTGAAACAGATTATTCGAGGCGCTCCAAACAGTTCTCTAATTTTGTTGAGAAATTCGGCTGCGAAATCTATGAGCGACGAAGTTTGCACAAAAAATATATTTAACTCCGCAAAGTTGGAAGATGCTTCTAACAATGAGACGCTGTTGGGAATGTCAATCTATAGAAAGTTGTTTGCGAAAGAATCAGTTTCGAAGTGCAAAGAATCGTCAATGAGTAATTTGCATACTTTGAAGAGATATGCTACGAATACACAAGAATATATGACAAAAAAAACCTATCTTGAGACCCCGTTGGATAAAAAAACTGTTCAAGTCATGAAAGAGATACATGAAAGAGAAAATCCTGAAGAAACTAAAATTAATAGAGAATCAGATGGTAAAATATCAAATTCTAATAAAAATCTTGTATGGTGCACCAATGAAACTTCGGAAATAGCTAAAATCTTATCAAATTACAACAAAAACATGTTGAGGAAGTCCATGATACAGAATCAAATTTATAGTTCAAGAGATATGAAAACGAGTTTAACAAAACTGAACATCAAAAATTTGCCGAAAAACTTCACGCAGAAGAATACAACAATTGAAAAAAATCAACAGTTTATATCCAACAGTCCCTATCCAAATACAAGTTTTGGTTTCTCACAAAGAAAATGGAAAAAGCTTCATCTAATGTTAGAGAATACCAAAGATAGTCAGATTGTCAGTAGCAATCAAAATGCTTGGAAGTGTTCTTCAACAATATTAGAAAATCACAAAGTAATTTCTTCGAAAAATGAACAAGTGAGTTTAAACACACTAAACTACATAAAAAAGAAGCTTAGTGATTCTCATAAGGATAAACATGAAATTATCGATTTAAACCCGAAAGAAAAGAAATCTGAATATTCTAGAGATGAAACAGAGACTTCAAAAATGGGATCATTGCGAGAACTCCTAGAGAACACTGCAATCTTATATTGTACCGCCAATGGAGTTCATCAGGATGATTTATCAAATTATATTGATACTCTTGACAACAAGCAAAACATTCAATGGTTAAAGACTTGCAATAATTCTGTTACATTCAATAAGAAATTGAATATGAAATAGTATTTCGTTTAATGTAAACGATATTATCGTTAAGTTTGGAATTACATTTACTCATTAGATAAATTTTATCAATAAGATAATTTTATAAAAGATTTAATTGTTTATAATAAATTGATGATAAATATCCGTTTTTTTTATATTTTATTGATTTCAATGTCCTTTAGATATATTGTAGAGGAAAGTGGTGATGTGAGTAATTCCCCACAAGAATGGAGTGGAGGACGGTATTGGTTAGAAGATATAACAAATTAAAATTTCATAATAAAGTCATGGCATACTTTCCATACAAAGTGACTTTCACCCCACCTCCCCTCCCCTTCCCCTTCTGCTTGAGGGCACATATCTTCCATACGAAGCGACTTTCATCCCCTGCTTCAGAACGCACAAAAAAATATAATCAATCTCGGAGAGTCGTACGCCTCTTGGCAGGAGAAGGGGGTGAATGGAAGTCGCTTCGCATGGAAGGATTACATGATGTGTGCAGTTCGACCAATGCCTACTTTTGCTTCTCGTCATCAGTAGTGCGAAAGGGCTACCAATTGTGAAATGCGAATAAGGGACGGTATTCATAGTAGACTATGAATACCGGCCTGTTTCGCGTCGTGAAATTGGTACTGAATCTTTCCTTGTGTTCACGATGTGAAATAGGCTGATATTCATAGTCGATTCTTACATTTAAGACTACCTTAAGTACAGTCTTAAGATGTTACAAGTCAATCCGAGGACTGTATTAGCATTTTAAGACATTATTTAAGTTTTAAAATAAAAAGGAATGAATACCGCTCCATGTTTCACGTTTTACAGTTGATAACCTTTCGCACTATGAACAGTCCATAGACGGAGAGGACAGAGATTTAGAGACACTGTCCAACTGCACACACCAAGTTATTCCTGCCACCATACATGGAAGTCCCCAAGCAAGGGGAGATGAGATGGGAATCGCTTATGCCAATGTCATCTTTTATATATTATAGAATTTTTATTTACTATATCTCCAATGCCGTTTCCCACTTAATTCTTATGGGGAATCACTCAGGACACACTTTCCCTTACAACATATCTAAAGGACTTTGAAATTGATGAGATGTTATCTAAAACAAATATTTATCAAAATGATTCTTTTAAGTTTATTTTTTTTATTTAAAAAACAACGAATACTTAAAGATTATAAATACAATAAATTAATAACTAAACTAAAATGTGTATTTTGTAAAATAAGGGTAAGTTAACTTTTTTTTTAACTAAGTTAAGTTAAAGATAACAATTAAGTTAAAGATAACAGTTTTGAAAATTTAATTTAGTTAAGATAAAAGTTAATCCATAATGACATTAATTAAATTAACAGTTAAGTTAATAAAAAAAATAATTGAAAAGTTAAAAATTAAATTTGTTTTATTTCATGATTTTGAGTTAACGAAATTAATTTTTTTTAATTAAATTAAAAAACTAAGTCAAAAAGTTAACTTTTTTTTTGTAAGAGGGGGAAATACCTTATGCATACTCTTGGCTAGCGAGAACGGTGCCTTATGAAGGACTCGCACTAAAACTCCTGCTGGTATCCTTCATTAGTCTCTATCAGAAACCTTGGGCATGCGTGCAATATTCTTCCAGGATGCTCCTAGATCCGTCGATCATGCTCCGTCAATCAAATCCCCCTCGGCGACTTTCTTTTTGACGGGAGGGTCATCGGAACCCCAAGGGGCTAATCAGTCTGTTCAGGCAAAGGGGGATATTTAATCTTTCGTCTCGCCCCCTCTCGGGGTTCCCTGAGGAAGAGGATAGAGCTGGCGGCCGATTTCCCATCCGATCATCCAGCGGACGATGCAATGTTTTGATCATACTTCCAGGCTCTCCGTTTCAAGTGAGAGAGGAATGGATTCCCGGCTGACGAGAAAGTCATCCATTCTTCCTCCCTCCTGTCACCATTCTCGAGATGCTGATCATTAGGGGGGGAGGGGAGAGGAGTCCTCCCCGACCAACGGCCGGCATGATGATGGTGTCGGCGGCGCTGCCACTCGGACACGTACCGAGGGATGCATCGCGGTAGCGTGCATAGTGGAAGCTCAATAATGATGCCAAACTTCGCCGCGCGGATGTCTTTCCCTCCATGCTCGGGCCCGTTTCCTTTCTTTTTCCGCCTCCTTCTAGAGTATGACGCTCTCGCAGAAGAAAATGGTACTCCATGACCTCTCCTCCTTCAGCATGACACTTTTACCAGAGCCGAGAGGAAGAGGTCCTCTTCCATCATTGCGATTAGAGCATCACGCTCGGCGTCCCGTTCCGAACACTGTTCAAGAGTGTGTTGTGCGGTGTCTCGGACAACAGCATAGTGATGGTGTAGTCGACTTCTTTTGGATCCGGCAGAGGCATTCACCGAAGCAGCCCTGTCTGTGTTATCCAGAATCAATCCTCCATATTTCCTATCTATCCATTTGAGCAGACAGGGAAAAATGGCCTGTACGGCAAGCTCGCCGAGGTGTCAAAGATCCGGAGACTTGCTCTTTCTCTCATGGCATTCACGGGACAAGGAAGGGGGAGGAGACGTTCCGCCGCATATAAAACGCACGGATCGTCGATATGTCTCGGCGAGCCCGCAAATCCACGGAAGGCGGTCCCATCAGTATCATGAACACAACGTGCGACACCGTCCTGTATGCGAAGCCCTCGTGATGCGAAAGGCGAGGCGCATTTGCTGTATCCGGGCGTCAGATGTCGTCTCTCCATTCCAGGGGTTCCATAAAGAAACCCTGCTAGGACGGTGTGCATGTACGCACGCCGTACTGCCATTCCCGGGCCGTGTAGATTAGATATGAGGCCGGAGAGAGCATCAGCCTTCCCACCTTGATTGCAACTCGAAGTAAACTCTGACACTTCACCGGTCATCCATTTCAATATGAAGTCCAGGTACATAAGCGTGGTTCCTACTTGGATGAAGATAGTTCCCACCCCGATCTGTGCTGAAGGCGATGTACTCCAAACCATGCTGTGCAGAAACATGTTTCTCAACTCAATCTTTTGAGGTGTCACCTCCAGCCTCAGTCCTCTAATGGAGCCAACTACGCATTACACAACTATGTTAGCTGTGGCAACCTCCCAGTTATGCCACCCGGAGAGTATCAAAATGTTGTTTGCATAGCAGACGTGACACTCTGAGAGAAGAGTGCGTAGAATAGCGTATCAGAGGCGATGCTCCACAGCAGGAGGCTCAGTACGGACTTTTGCAAGATACCACATGATACTTCACTTCTACACTGATCCGTCCTTATAGCTCTAGCTACTTATGTTATCCTCGATAAGTAATCAGATAGGGGGACAAGTTCTGATAGGCAAGTGCCACCTCTCCCATGGGAGAGTGTTGAAAGCGTTGATGATATCGAATGACAGCGTCAACATCACTCCTCCTTTCGTTACCATGAGCCCCGCAAGCGTCTGCAATTTTCGAATGGCATCGACGATGGAGCGTTCTTCGCGGAATTTGTATTACTTCGGATGTAAATCGAATCCCTTCCGGCGCTGGACGTCAAGTAATAATCTTAAAACTTTTATGTATGATACTCCTGTTGCTATTGTGGAAATATTTCGAAATCGTATTATCGTTGCGTGTGAAAAAATACAAAATATTCCGAGAATTTTTGAATGTCTTCGACAATCCATGCGACGTCGATGCGAAGCAGGTATCGATGCGGAAAGAAATCATTTCCAGCAATTTCTGTAATAAAAATATAAATATAAGTATAAAATAAAAAATA